GTCTGTTTCTCTTTCTTTCCTCTCTCTCTTTTTCTGTGTCTTGCCTAAGGACCAGTTACAGGTGATGGGATGTGGTCCGCCCATTCACCCCCTCCTGTCCAGGAAAGTTGGGTCAGTTTTACAGACACGCCCCCCTCCAGCACACTTCCAATGCATCCCCCCTCAGCTCAGGTAATGCAATGTGGGCCTCCATGTATACATTTGTTATGTATACAACATAATCTGTCACCACTGGCCTGCTGTAACCAAGGCTTCTGTGGCAGAACAGATGTTTACTTTTGTGTTAACAAAAGCAGACTTTATTAAATATTTGCCAAGCCCAAATGAATGCAGGTTCAGAGAATTACCGGTCATACAAGAAATTTGAAAACAAAGTAGTTAAGCCGTTTTTTTCTGTTGTTTAAGCTGTTTAAAAAAAAAACACAGTTGAAATCTTCAGATTTAAAATTAATAAGCAGCACAACTGTTTTCAACCTTGATAGTAGTAAGAAATGTTTCTTGAACACCAAATGTTTCTTGAGCATATTAGAATGATTTCTGAAGGATCATGTGACACTGAAGATTGAAGATTCAGCTTTGCCATCACATGAATAAATTACATTTTGAAATAAATAAAACATTTTTTTATTGTAATAATATTTCACTATTACAGAAAATCTTACAAACTCCAAACTTTTGAACAGTAGTGTACATAATATAAGTGTATTACAAAATCTAATTCTTATTTTTCCCCTCCTTTTCTACTCCAGCCGGAGAGCACAACAGTACGAACTGTGCCATCTGCAATGACCACAAATGAAATCCAAAGACAGATCAGTGGTTATGATGACCCCTGGAAAATCACAGATGAGCAAAGACAGTATTACATAAACCAGTTTAAGACCATTCAGGCTGATCTCACTGGTTTAATCCCTGGTTAGTGAGACCTTGTTTTGAATAGTAACTGCCTTTATGCTGTTTTCTGTTTTAAATTTACCAGCCTAAAAATGTATCCATTCTCTATTGTTCAGGCTCAGCCGCGAAGGAATTCTTTACAAAGTCGAAACTGCCTATTCTAGAACTGTCTCACATTTGGTAAGTAGTTTTACATGAGTTACACTGTCTCTCTTTGTTCATTTTGGATGACCTTGGTGTACATTGTCTGAAATAGATGTGTAAACAAGAACTCATGCATATGTTGCCACTCCTTAACAGCATCAGTTGATAATCTTAGCCATTTGCATTCGATTTGTTAATGCCCTGTCTTTAAAAAAGGAAGTTGTCCCTGTCATCTGTTTTTTTTGTGTGCCTTAAAATATTCATCTTATCTGTATTGACTGACCTGCTTTACCTTGCAGGGAGCTATCAGATTTTGATAAAGATGGTGCATTGACCCTGGATGAGTTCTGTGCTGCTTTTCATCTTGTGGTCGCTAGGAAAAATGGTTATGACCTTCCTGAAAAGCTACCCGAGAGCCTAATGCCAAAGCTTATTGACTTGGATGACTCAGCAGGTAAGCAGAAAAGCCTCACACAAACCAGAGCTTCAAATTGGGAAATATGCAGCTCAGTTATTTCTGAACGTTCTGCATACAGAGTGCTTTCTTAATGCAAAAATCGACCCATGTTTTTACCCTGCAAACACGCAGAGCTTTGAATGTGAACTGGTGGATCGATAAGAAGACAATGCATTATAAAAATCTAAACAGTATAGGGGTGTGCGATATGTATCGATATGATATCGATATGTATGCGATAATATCGTAATTGTTGTTTTAATGATGTGCGATTATGATATTATCGAGTATATCGCGAAAAGCAAACAAAACACCTACAGTTGTTTTTGCTCTATTTCTCCAACAAAAATCATTCCAAACACAGCCACAGCGCTGTTTTGCGTCTCTGAGCAACACGATGGGGTTTCGTTCCTGAATGAATCAACCGTGTAAATCAGGGATCCTCAAATCTGGTCCATGAGATCCACTTTCCTGCAGAGTTTAGCTCTAACCCTAATCAAACACACCTGAGCATGCTAATCAATGTCTTCAGGATCATTAGAAAATCATAGGTAGGGGAGTTTGATCAGGGTTGGAGCTAAACTCTGCAGTACATTGGCCCTCCAGGGCAAGATTTGAGGAACCCTGGTGTAAATGATTCGGTTCAGTCGCAATGACTCACTTAACAGTGACTTGCTGCCACCTACTGGCAGTTTTAATTTCACATTTAAGGTACCTTTTCATTTTTTAAATAATTTCATACTTCAGTTTTCAATGTTTTATGTTTAAAATATCAAAACATTATTTATGCATTTGTAACTGCAGGTTAGAGTATTCCATGTCCCTCGGAGCTGAATTAAACCGTATGTAAATACATCTAAATTGGTGGTTCAGTGGTAGAATTCTCGCCTGCCACGCGGGAGACCCGGGTCCGATTCCCGGCCAATACAAGAACAGCCTCCTTTGTCGGGAAGTTGTGGCCTAATGGTTAGAGAGTCGGACTCGTAACCCAAAGGTTGCGGGTTCGAGTCTCGTACCGGCAGGGATTGTAGGTGGGGGGAGTGAATGTACAGCGCTCTCTCCCACCTTCAATACCACGACTGAGGTGCCCCTGAGCAAGAGCACCCCCAACTGCTCCCTGGGCGCCGCAGCAAAAAATGGCTGCCCACTGCTCCGGGTGTGTGTTCACTGCTGTCTGTGTTTCACTGCTGTGTGTGTGCACTTAGGATGGGATAAATACAGAGCACTAATTCCGAGTATGGGTCACCATACTTGGCCACATGTCACGTCACTTTCACTTT